TTGCAAGAAGGTCAACTACAGAATGTCACCAAAATCATGTGCACACCTTTAGGTACTAACGTTGTATCATATGACACCTTGGAAGGTTTGGTTCAGTAACTTCAAAAACAAGTACTATGGTATTTAAGAAGCAGAGCGCTCTGGCCGGCCTGTTGATGAGGCCCGTTTGCTAAGGAGTTAGATATTAGTGCAATGTCTTTTCGCTATCCTTCGCAAAAATCTGACGTACAAGTTCAATCGCTGGGTGCCGCATCAGCTGACACAAGCAGTTAAGGACAGATGTGTTCGGGCCTGCAATATGCTCAACAGTAAGGTGTACAGCGAGATGCTAGTCCGTGTTGACGTTACTATATGAAAACAGTCGCGGAGCAAAAAGGTAATGTTCCATCTAGATAATGCAATGTGTCTGCATTCACGTCTGGAGTCTGTATGGACTCGAATGGGATCTTTTGCCACCATCATATAGCCCCATCATCGCTCCTTGGGACATCTACATTTTTTACCACCTGCAGCTACATCTTGCTAGTACTATCCTCCATTCTGCACAGGACGTTCGAAATGAAGTTGATCTGTTTTGGACTCGCGGCCACTAAGTTTCTGGGCCGAAGGCTTTGAAAAACTACCAAAACGTTGGCAGAAAAACATTGATTTGGGTGGCGATTACTATCCGCACTGCTTTCATTTTGTTTTTACCCCTGAAGTTTATTAAGAAAGTTTTTTTGTGGAAAACTTCCGTTACAACCAGATATATCAATGTTGCATAAATTTTATGGGAAAAATCAGAAGAAAATCTGAAAGCTTTCTGAACGTTAGAAAAACGCCTAAAAGGGCGTGTTTCTAACGTAACATTACATTTAAGAAATAAAGGTAGCGTTCTAACGTTACCTTTATTTATTAAATATCATGTTCTTCGCATTTAAAACCACATAAAATTGAGTTCAACAGCAAGCATCACAAAATATTTAAAAACAGCATGTCATTGGAATTTCCCATACAGTCTCGCGGCCTGGAGATTAAAAAAAAAAAAAAAAAATCGTACAGTGTTGCCATTGCTCGCTTTGAAATCGTTGAGTTTGCTAATTTGAAAAGGATAATAAAATAAATAAATTCGAAATTCAAAATTCGGGCTTCCAAGTGCCCATGTTGGGTTGGAGGACTACGTTATTCAAAATTTGATGGCTGTAGGTACCGCTGTTTTCTTACAATGCGAGAAACATGCATGGTATTCTTGCAGATTCCTCTTTATTTAGTTTCCTTAAATATAGTAAGTACAAAGGGATAATATTTGGTGGCAACAATGCCGTTTCGAGACTAATAGCCCGTTGGGTCTAACATCTCTTTAGGCTAATATTTTTTACTAAACGATTGGAGTACATGTTTTATATAGTTATTCATTTATTAGTAACCAATGCATTATGTAAGTTTGACGGCTGCTATGTGCTTGCATTTTTGTTACCAAAAATGATAAAATATAGTTTTGTACCCGTAAGATTTTACAATTAGTATCTAGTTATTTCTGTCGCTGTTTAATTTAAAACTATGTATTATACGGTCTTGTCGCTATATAGATTATTTACTTTCGTATGGTAGCCTAATTTTGCACTCAAAATTGCAGAAGATGTGCCAGCTAGCTTAAGTTCCGCAACTTCTTTTGTGATCTAATAGCAGCTGGTTGAACCTCGTGCTTCTTTCATTTGACGTGAAGTAACGGAGCTTGGCAAGAAATTAACTTCGTTTTTTTGGTATGGAATAAAACTTAATTTTTCCATACAAAAAATTAACTTTAATCAGCCAAATATCTTCCATTTTGTTCCATGACCTTTCATCATCTTTCTGGTAAATTCATGAATCTGCGCTCATAGAACTTGTGAACTTTACCAGTAAAAAGCTCAACTAAGTGCGATTTGAGGTCTTCGTTATTACTGAAATGTTTGATGATCTTTCTCCGATGCAGTTTAACTTTTGATATGGTTTGTTTTTGATTCATCATGCTCGGACCTTGTGGGGTTTTTTTTTTTTTTTTTTTTTTTTTTTTTTTTTTTTTTTCAATTAATGTTATCGTAAACGATCCAGTTTTCATCATCAGCGATAATTTATTGAAAAAAGGATCGATTGCATTACATTTAGAATGCGTATCGTAAATATTGTTTGTTTGTGTTAAGTGGATTTCTTTCAATTCATGCGAAACCCAAATATCGAGCTTCTTAACAAGTCAAAAAAAAAAAACTTATCTGATTTTCAATTATTGTATATGATACTTTTAATTTTTTTGCAACCTCTCGCACAGTTATATGACGATTCGTTTCAGTTATGGCTTTACTTTTGTCATCATCAACTTCAGAAGGTCGCCAGAACGCTGGTCTTCTTCAGTTCTTCAAGTGAAAAATTTTCAGAACGAATTTTTTGAACTAATTCTGGCACATGCATTGTGTTAAGCAATCAGCATCATAAACTTCACGTACCTCTTTGTGAGCCTGAGTTACTTTTTTATGAGAATAAAAGAGTAAAATATGCCGAAAATGTTTATTTTTGCATTCCATGTTAAAAGGGATCGTAAACTGACAAACTGCGAACAAAAGATGCACGAATTTGTTATAGCAACCTAAAAGTGTCAGCTGCCAAATCTAAATAAATAAATAAATAAATAAATAAAAATAAGATTCACAGAAGACTAGACAAAACGAAAGTTAATCATTAAATTTTCCATCATTTAGTAATAAATAATGAATAAATAACTGAATTTTTAACTTTTTTTCAAGTTATTCAATAAAAAATATTTTATTTTTAACTTTCCATTCGTGCGAATAGAGGGCGAAGCCCCAGCCCTCCTACCCAGCAAAGCTGGCCATATGGCTTTTTTTAACTTTCCATGTAAGATATTCGCCACGCCGTGAAAGAGTACACCATGCAGTAAAAATTCTCATTTAAGGACATCTTTGGAGTCGAAATGAGCGTTCCTAAAGGCAAGGTGTCCTTAAATCAGAGAATCTCAAAAAATTGTAATCTTTTTTTTTTTTTTTTTTTTCCCCTTCTCCATATGTAACTAAATTTTTTGCTTTAAATTTATTCATTAACATAAAAGTAATTTATCAGATTTGAAATTATTAAAATCACTAAATGCGTACTGATGAAAAATTATAAATTAGGATGAATGTATTAATAATTAAAGTAGTTAGTTACATATGATTATAAAATAATCAGTTACAATTGTTCCATTTTCTATTTACAATATGATTTTCAAAGCAAACTTATAACTCAGAGTTAATCTAAAATTTTCACCATCATTATTATGAATGGAATTACGTGCATATTACCATTTTAGCATATTACTTGCTTCTTTAAAACTAGATGATAGGAAATCTGAATTAATGCGTTTTTCATAATTTTCTTCATTTCTTTCTTCTCCACAATTAATAAGGTTTCTTACTATTTCTATTATCTCACTCTATTATTGCCATCTCATCAATAAAAATACATTCAGAAGCCGAAATATTATTTAGGCCAAGTGTCTTTATCAGTGGTTGTAAATTAATATCACATTCATTATCAACTCCAGTAAATGTTGTAAGGCATTTATTAAAACCACTTTTTGTAAAACTGTTTTCAAGGTAATAACTATTGATTCAGTCATTCACGCTAATGCGGTAAAAAGCGTTATTTTGAATACAATCTTCTACAGAAGGCTGGAAAGACTCGATATCTTTGGAAATTAAAAAGGTACATAATGACAATTTTAGGAAGGTGATTTACATATTTTGTGAAACAGCGAACTAGCGAAAATACCTGTAAATAGAATGGAAGAAAGTATTGAAAGTTTTGTGAAGCAGCGAACTAGCGAAAATGTCTGTAAATAGAATGGAAGAAAGTATTGAAAGTTATGTAAGATTTTTCTTTCGTTAAGAGAATCGGAATAGAATCAGATCGATTTTAAAATTAAGCAAAGAAATGCTATTAAACAGGAGTTTCATTTTTTTCACGTTTTATCTTTATGAAAGTATGTCCACCAACAGGACGTATAGACACTGTTACTCAACGAGTGACGCATATTAAAAGCTTAAACTATAATTTTTTCTATTTTTAGAACAGGAAAGGTAAATCTTGAATTTAAAAGAAAGAGTTTAGGTATTATTACGAGTAATTCTATTTTGCGTATGTGCTTTTAAGAAACGTAATTAAAATTAAAAAATATGCGACAAATCAGAGAGCTGTTTGCATCTAAATTTTTGACAGAGGCACACTTTTTTTAACTTTACGAATAAGTTTTAATTCTAATTTTCATAGGCAGATGGCACAGTAAGTGTCACTGTTTAAAATTAGAATGAGAATAAGATTATTCAGCTTTCATCCATTTGCATTTTTGAACTATTACATATTTACTAAGCCCACCAGCGGCCGAGCGGTAAAGACGCTGAACACTGGTAGTTCGGTCTGAGGTTCGAATCCCGCGAACGGGCTGGCTGCATGGGCGTTTTCGTGGTTTTCCCCATGTGTAACGTGTATACGAGCCAGTTTCCCTTAGAAAGTCCTCCACGAAAGGCATCCCTCCCTTTAGGCAGATAGCCCTCGTGTGCTTTGCCATAATTAAATACACCAATACACACACACACACCATATTTACTAACAATGTAGCAATATATTGCGAATTCTCAGATGCATCTCTTAAAAGGATTTAAATTTCCACATTTTCATTATTCTTTAATTTATAACCACTTTAATATTTAACTACAGCGCTATCTATCGGTTAAAATGTGAACTATATTATATCTTTCTTTTGGGGGGGGCGGGTGTAAACTGCAGTTTGTTGATCTTGTATGATTCTTTTTAAAAATATCAAAATTTGTAAGATGTCCTTATACATTATGTGTAATACTTGTTTACATACAATTTTCCTTTATTATTTAATGCATTTAATCTTTGGTAAATGTAATATTTTCACAGATGTAAATTTAATATATAGCAGTTTATTTTGCGTACTTAAAATATTTATTATTTCTATTTAGGGATGTCATAGCAAGTCTGAAGAAAAGGAATGCCAGAGAACATAGTTTTCGTGATGTAATAATATATAGTAATAAATTACTAGAATCATTGGATTACTTGCAAAGAAGTGTAATACTCCGAAATATTCAGACTACAAAAGCAGAGCAAACAAGTCCTGCCGTACCTGCTCATGACTTATCAGCGGAAGAACGTACGATGTTAATGAAATGCTGCGATTTGCAAAATGATTTAGCTGAATGTCATAAAAAAATTTCAGATTATGCTCAACAAGTTATTGACTTTAGAAATGCACTGGACCAAAAGAACCAAATCATAGCCAATCAGAAACGTGAAATGGAAGAAATGAAGAATACTTTGAGTAATTATCAAGAACTTTGTAAAAAACATTGTAAAGAATTAGCAGACATTAAAATTGCCTTTCAAAATAAAGTCGATGAATGCGATGCCTTAAATATCACCTATTCAAGTTTGGAATGCAAGAAAAATAACTTAGAAATTGAAAATCAGAATTTAAAAGCCCAGCTGGCTGAGGTGAAGAAAGCTGAAATAGCACGTTCGCTTAGCGAAAGTCTTGTGAAAGTTGTGGAAGATTCCTCTGATAAGAACGTGAAAAAATCTTCATCTGGGACTCAAGTCCACGAAGAAAGTGCCAGCTTGAAAACTGCTTCCGTAGACGTTATTGCCGAAAACTTGAACTCCATAGTTCCAGAAAAAATTAAGTATGAATTTAATGCTCACGATAGTGATGTAAATGCTGTTTTATGGTTGCCGACATTCAGTCATGTTATTACTGCTGGTGCTGACCGAAAGGTCAAGCTCTGGGAGTTGCTGAAGGATGGCAGTATTGTGTTAAAGAAATCAGTCCGCGATTGTAATTCATCCATAATGTCTGTCGATTTAGATGCTGATTCCAGCTTGCTGTTGTGTACGTCGTGTGATTTTGCTAGTCGTATTTGGACCCTCAATGATTTTACTTTGAGACATACATTAACTGGTCATAGTGGTAAGGTTATGTCTGCAAAATTCATGTACGAAATAAATAAGATTGTGTCTGGTAGTTTAGACCAAACTTTAAAAGTATGGGATCTGCGGCGAAGAGCATGTATCCAGACCAGCTTCTCAAACTCTCAGGTACATGATGTGATTTGTAAAAGTGGTCATGTTATAATAAGTGGGCATGCCGATAAGAAAATCCGGCTCTGGGACATTAGATCTAACAAAGAAACTTCTCAGATTGCCTCTACTGGAGTAATTACATCACTAGATTTGTCCAAAAATGGTTATTTGTTATTAGTCTCCCAGCGGGATAATGTTTTGAAGGTTTTTGACTTGAGGACGAATTTTGGATTAAATTCATTGAAAGCAGATAGTTTTGAAGTTGCTTACGATTGGACCAGAGCGAAGTTTAGTCCTGATGATCAGTATTGTGTTTGCGGTTCGAAGAATGGGTCAGTATTTATATGGAATATAAACAAAGAAACAGTTGAAAACGAATTGAAAGGCCACAAATCTAGCGTCATAGCTTGTGACTGGAGTTCATGTAACTCATTTTTAACTACTTGTGAGAATAACAGAAAATGCATTATATGGTGTAAAGCTTAAATGTATTAAATATTTTGATACATGTTTTACGTATTTGTTGGGAATTGTTATTTTAACTTGCAAGTAATCGTAATTCTTGCTACCATAGCATGAAGTATGCTCTTTTTATACATTATCCAAGTATTATAACATAAAATATATTAAAATATAATAACTTTAAAAATGAAACATAATTTTTCAGTTGAGTCGTAGTGTTTCATTTTTCAAGTTTTTAATTTTCCCCCTGAGTTACATCAACTTGAAACATTATACTAGTTCAATTAAAGCGTGATACGACTTACACATGCAATGTTATATTTGCTAATTTTTTTCATTAAATAATAATATTGAATTTAAATCACTTTCAAAACCTTTTTACTCATGTTTTACTGGTGTCATCATCAAAGTGCATAAAGATGTAAATTTTATTTTTAAATTTCTAGCGAAATTTTAAACGTTTTTTATTATAGGCTTACATAACTATATTCAATCACCCATTTCTATAAGTGCACACCAGAAGTACGCAAAAATAGATGTCAAAAAACAAAAATTAACCAGCTACCGGGGGGGGGAGTGCTTTAGAGGGGCACCAGTATAAAATATATACCGGCCCTAAAAATTCCGGATTTCACTCTAGATTTTTTGAAGTCTCAATTTTGTGTTATTAGGGTTTATAAATTTACAATTCATGCAAAATTTTAACATAATTTAAATTATTTTATATACCGCTCCTAAAAGGGTTAAAGTACTGATAATTAATGAGACCAACATCTTTTGCTTGTATCAAAATTTCTCTGTTTGAGAGGAACGCCATTTGCACTTTTAAAAACAACTGCAATTTTTTTTTTTTTTTTTTTTTTCCTAAGCGTTCTTATGCCCTCTGCGCTCACCTGTAGCAACACTTTAGCCCTTGATGTACACCGCGAAAAAAAAATAAAAAGGTGAGATTTCTATATTTCCTGTTCTACTGTGCCGATTGACGAAATTCAAATTCCGTTTTTCATGTCTCGAAAGCGCGACTTAGGATGTATATTAGATTTATATATAGCAATTGTTCTTATACAGGTATTTTGAAACAAAATAGGACTTTTTTCTGAAATGACAATTTTTTCCATTTTACAAATCAAATTATACCAAATTTTGTAAAAATTGCACAAGCAGTTTTTAAAAAATTAGCTTTCAAAATTTTAGCTCCTCAATGTTAATTCAGCTTGATATATATTTATTAATATCACTTATTTTATTAAACTTACTTCGTTCTTCTTTTCATATTTCGAAATTTAGGTTCATACCAAATAAAATTCGCCAATTTTTTATGATCTATTTTTAAAATTTGTGTTTTTAAATAAATTTTATAAATTTTTCGGAAAAAATTTTGAATTATAACCTATTTTATAACTAAAATTTTTGCAATCACCTTAAAGTATGTATTCCTAAGCATACCTGCCAAAAATTAGGGTTTTTTTATTCACAATTTCCTAAGATGTGCGTGAATTTACGTTTTGGCGCATTTTGAAATTTGGCGTATTTATTATAAGCGATAATAACGAAAATGTGGTGTAGCACTTTGTTAACATATGAACGACGACTTTTTTCACGGCTCGTACACAAAGAAAAAAGGCAAAGGTTAATTTTCCTATATTATATTATTTGGTATAAATTAAGAAGTTCGCCAAGTGAATTATTCTTGGCGAAAACTAAAAAAAATTCGCCAAGATAAATTTTTAAATTTCTCCATAAATTTCTCACCAAAAATTAAAAAATTTGATATCTAGGCGTAATTTGAGTCGTAGAATCGAAATATGGAAAAAAAATTGGTATGTTATTTCAGAAAAGTCCGAATTTGTGTCAAAATACTTATGTTAGGACAATGCTATATATAAATCTAATATATATCACAAATCGCGCTTTTGAGACAGGAAAAAGGCGATTTGAATTATATCAATCGGTTTAGTAGAACGGGAGCTATAGAACTGTATCCCCCCTTTTTTTGCGCAGTGTACATACGGATATCAGTAGCAGTTTCAGCACCTTCCTCTGGTAGAGTTCCCCCTTCAATTTTTTTCGGTATCATGTAGGCTTCTGCATTTGGATTCACATTCCTTAAAACCACATCTAACTGTATCAGCAGTTCGGCATAATGCAACATTTCTATGTATGTTCATTCTCTGCCTGAGGGCTTGATGCGAATCTGAAATATACAGCTGGGCGTGCTATTCTCGATCAGGATGAGGTGTTTTGCTTGATGATATGTGGCACTATGAATTCTAAAACAATAAGGACTTGAACCTGTTAGCATTTCTATAGTGGTACCCAAGGAAGCAAAACCAAGAAGACAATTATAAGTACGTATGTTAAAAAAATCTTGAGAAAATTGGTGGTTCCCATTCATTAAATTACGCTATTCTTCTAGATATTTTTTTTCCCCAGCTTCTACAATTTTCCCATTGTGACAGCAGTGTGTGTATCTTCCTTTTAGGTTCCTTTCTTCTAGAAAGAAGAGTCCACTGCAGAGATCGCAGCAAACTTCCATTGAACCGACACTGTGTTGCTCGATGTACGAGTCCACATCTTCCTGCATTGTGAAGAACCCTCACTGAATGCTGTTGTATTCATGTCTGTCTTGTCTTATAGACATTGTTTCTTGAGATCGGACTTGTCTGTGATGTGCAGCTTCTTGCGTTCTTCGTGAAGTTTTTGGCATTCTGTTCTACTCTTCCACTGGAATTGGACAATGATGATGATGAGAGTCTTGTGTCCTTCGTCTACCTGCAACTTCTGTCTCTTTATCATGCATATTCTGTTGATGTGCCACTTGTTTGATGAGCCTCCTGCACGTTTCTGCTTCAGTTTCTTGAGCACGCAAATTTTCTTGGTATTATGCTTGTCTGTTGAGCCTCCTATTCGTTCTTCTTCAGTTTCCTAAGCACGCAATGTTTCTTGAATTTCTGCTTGTCTGCTGAGCTTGCTATTCGTTTCTTCTTCAGTTCCTTGAACGCGTTAAGTGATCTCGTCGATGTGTGGGCCTGCTGAGTCTTATAGTTGTTTCTTCTTCAATCTCTTGAATACATAAATTTTTTTGTCGTTGTGCTTGCTTGCTGAGGCTCCTAGTGGTTTCTTCTTCATTTTCTGTAGCTCACTGTAACCTTTGTGCTTCAGCTCTTTGTTTTCTTAATGCAGCTCCCATAATGCCTCTTTTGCGTGTTAGCATTTTAATAATAATAAAAAGAAGCACTGTACTAAAATAATAATTCGACTAAAATATATAAATGCTTACAAAAGTTTAAACTATACTCAAAAAGAAAATATGTTATAAAAGAAATTAAATACTTGTAAATAGAATTTTTAAAATGCACTGAAAACTGAAAATAAAATGAACAATTGATGTACTGTTCACATGTACTGTTTACAAATTTGCTAGCTGCGGCAAAAGCAAAATTTATAAGTTCTATGTATACCTGAAAAGAAAATTCATAAAAACATTCAATATGAATGAAATCAGTTCATTCTTTCCAAGCGAACAACCAATTCGTAAATAATTTTTTGTTGCCAAAACAAGAAATAACTTTTGGCAGTTCAGATAACGTATGACGTCATGATTTAATTTAATGTAATATAACAACTTTTTGTGGAAAGCTTTGCTTTACGCTGATGGTTTGTGATAGAAATTTTTAAATCGTTCTAATAGCTAACAGGTTGATCACGCATGATGCTCTTGTTAGACCTTAAGCAGTAATTGGTCATTTGCGGCTTAAAATAATATATTTTTACAGAATGTTTTACAGAGAGACGAGAGAATTTTTAGATTTTTTTCCCCCTCCTTAAGAGAGCGTTAACACACAGATTTAATCTATAAAACGTAAAACGTTTTATCATTAATATTATTGATACTTACGTATTATCCGTCAACAGGAAACTGTCGCCAGGAGGGCGATTTAGCCCCAGTTATGGATAAGCTTAATGTAATAACACATTCATAACATATGCGCTTTCGTATGACGTAACCTTGATTGATTCTCGATGAGCTACGTTTTGTTTTCATAAACAAGGATATAAATTAATTGTTATCACTATTTTTTGTAGCAATTTGAAAGAGAAAAATGATTATAATTTGGGACCTGCCTTCTACCGTACAGCAAGCAGTGGATTATTTTCAGTTTTGGGATCCTACATCTAAACAAGTGTGCATTAATGGACACGATATGGTCAGCTGAATATGGCAGACAAACCGGCAATAGATAAGAATAATTACCAACCGGGTGTTTGTGCTCAAAGCGTTTTAAGGAGAGTTTCCTGTAAAATCGAAGGTCGTAACAAAATAGTAGAAACCGATGAAAGCTTTTTTACGAAGCGCATAAACAAAGCAAGTCGAATTCCTATTCTTGTGTATTAATGAGACGTCAAATCCTTCAGAATTCAGCAGAAACTGGCCAGCCTTCGCGGTCGATGGGATAATATCAGGACTTAAAAGGAAAAATTTATAGAGCTTAGACGTTTTAAATTTGAAAAAACAGCCTTAAATAAGCTGTTCGTAAAAAAAAAATAGCTTTAATTTAGAAAAGATGTTATTGCTGTATGTATTTATAACGTTTAAAAAGTTAATACTACTTATTTATTAATTTAAAATTGATAGATTAAATACGCTTCGTTTTCTTTAAAGTTGCAGGTTCTTAAAACTTTTCATCCTCTGCATTTATTATTAAATCATGAAGGAAAAACTAGAGCGTTCATCATTTTTTCTTCATCTAAATACAAAGTGGGAGAATTTTACTCTCCTTCTAAGATAACTGTAATAACAGCTTTTTAACGTTAGGCAGGAAAAAAAAAAAGTTTGAAAGGTTTCAGATTTTAAATTACTTCCAAAGGGGCGTTTTTTTAACGTTTTGTGCATTACTTTATTTATTAAATATCATGTTATTTGCGCTTAAACCATAAAACTCAGTTCAACAACAATGTCGCAAAATAATTTTAGAATGAGCATAGCTTTCAAATTTCCGGTACACAGTTCCGCGCGCTGGAGATAAAAAGGTTTCCCCCCTCCCCATAGAGC